CAGGTAAATTATTTTAATTTGACTTTGATATACAGCTGGAGATTTCTTTTGAAGTCTAAGCACCTGAACAGTTTTTAAAAGTTTTAAAACTAAGTTTATGGAGTAGGTGTGTGTGTGGTAAAGAGGTTGGGGGGGAGGGGGACTCTTTATATCCTTCTCTGGATATATACAAGACTGAGTTAACCAGTCTGAGGGCCCTGGAGCATTTTACCCTTGAGCCCCCTTTTATTTAACTTTGTGTAGGCCTACACTGAGCCTGACTTTAACCATACTGTACACAGCAAACATGGCAGCTTCATTACACTGTGTCTTCCCTAGATGCCAATCACCAACCAGTGCTTCTGTGCTGGCCCCCGGGCTGGATTTGTGTGATAATATGATTGTTGTGAAGTTAATTTTGTTACTAAAAGAATGTGAAACTGTCAAACATGAAACACACAATAGCAGATGATAGATTCGAATGGTGCAGGCACATGTGATTTACATAATTTCAAATCACTTTAACATATAACATGTGAAACATGAATTAATATGTGATGGATTCTCATACAGGCACACAAGTTCTTTTTTCACCAGGAAACTGAAATAATAAAAGCATTAAGATTTTCCCTCACAAGACAGGGCCTGAGGTTTAGGTAAAACTGCAGGAACTGCCTTAAGGCCTCCATCTTTTCACTTAATATTGTGCTTAAGTGTTGCATACGTTATTACCAAACAAATTTGCAATTAATGAAATTACCACAAACTAATTGTCACGCAGTGAACCTGCAGCCTTTAGGCCCCCTGAGGGTCTGAGGCCCTGGGGCAGTTGCCTGTTTTTACTGGTCGGTAATCCAGCTTTGCATACATAAGATAAAAATAATTTCTTTCCACCCTTGAAAAAGTTTACATGACAATACAACCTGATGCTGTGATATGACCTGGAGCTGTGTACAGTGGGTTTTACATAATCCCCTTTTCAGCTCAGATGACAGAAATTCTCAACAAAAAGAAAAAGCTGGATCACACTGAAAAGTTCACCTGTGTCCATCCATCCACACCGACATTAATGCGTTTCCCAATAGGTGGTTGGAGGCAAGTCTCTCTCACATGTCTATCACGGCGGTCTGAGGGCGGACTGTCGGTGGAAGGATATACCACCTGGCTGGTAACTCGTTTGGGGCATCCTGCAGAGGCGGAAAACTGAAGTTTATGGCAGCCACGCTCGAAGAAGAGCCATCGTTCGTCATCAGCTGGAGAATGCTGGCTGATGTCAGTGAAGGGAAGCAGCTTGGGGGTGGGGGTGTGGGGGGGGCACAGGCCTTGCCTCGGTGATTCATCTTCGGCTTAGACTGCTTGGAGTGGGAGATGTCTACAGGGCACGGCTTGGCTGGAGAGCCCTCAGAGCTCTAGCACCACAAGCATTGAAAAGACTGGCTGCCTGGCTGGCTGACTGCCCCTTGGCTTGCCGTGGTGCTAAGTGTTATTACACAGGTGTACCGACAGCTTTATGTTCACAGACTGGACTCCAGCACTCCCTGGAGATCAGAGCAGGGAATACAGAAGCAGTTTGCATTCAGAGGGCTTCAAAAATGCTCATGGTTCCACTTGTCTCGGCTGTCCTTGAGCCACTTTCGATTGTTATTATTATCCATTCCAGTCATGTGATAGTCGGACGTGGCATCAGCAGGATGTAACTGAGCCGAGTTGACCTGATCCTTGTTTGATGGATTGATAAGAGTTAATTTTATCACCATTTGGTTGATGGAGAGTAATAAGAGGTATAAAGGAATTATTAAGATGGAACATTGCCGTGGATGAGTATCCATCACTGAGCTGGATTACTGTCAGTAAAGGTTAATAGATCTACTTATCATATGATGACCCCAGCCTGCACAGGCTGGTCGTAGTTCATCGGGATGTCAGCTTCCAGGTGAAAGACTCCTCAGCTGATCTTTGATATAACCTGTCCTGGCTTGTTCGCACACAGTTATGTATATATGTCAGTGATAGGATTCTTTTTATTTGCCTTTCTGTCTTTCTTCCTTTTTACTGTATTGGTTTCTTGGAAGTAATTTTCCTCTGAACAGCATCAATATATGAACTATCTCCAGCACATTTACTGTATCCTGTAAAAAAAAACAAGCTACTTCATTTAAAATCAAATCAAATGTATTTAGATCACATTTTTAAAAAAAAAGAAAACAGCAGACCAAAGTGCTGTACAACATCAAGACTTTTGGTATATAATACTTTCATACTTTGAACTTCTGTCTTGAATGATCCATGTTATCATTTTTTGATGTTTAATGCAGAGAGGTACATACATTTAAAATGCTCTTCAACAGATTGGGAGCAAAGAACCGGTGTTCAGATTTGACTTTTTTTGCCATCATGTTAGGTTATGGAATTGCAATCTCTCTAAGACTAAGAAGTACATATGCTAACGCTAACATGCTGATGTTCAGCAGACATAATGTTTACGGTGTTCAGCATCTTAGTTCAGCATGTTAGCATGCTAACATTTGCCATTTAGCACTAAACATAAAGAACAGCTGAGGGAGTTTTGCAGATATTTGGTCGTAAACCAAAATGAAATCTTGACCTGATGATGGAGCTGAAGGAAAAGTCAGGAGATCGCCACAGTTACTGCAATTCCTGCTGAGGGGGACACAAATATCCTTACCAAATTTCATGGCACTAAAAATCAACAATGTCAGCCTCATGGCAGCGCTAGAGGAACGGCGGGGGATCACCAAAGTCATTCGGATTCACCCACTTGGGATTGTCAATGTCTGTACTACATTTCTACTGAAATCCGTCCAAATGTTGTTGAGATATTTCAATCAAATATTTCCTGAATCCCTAACTAAGCTTTGGCTCTGACCTGGACGCACTGAGGAAATTTCTTCTGCTATTTATCTGTTGTTCAGCTCAATCAGGCACAGCTTCCTATTTAGAAAGAAAATGAATAAATAATTAGAGGGATTTAGGTCTTGACCCATTTTGCTCCACATCAAATGACCTCCAAAAATCTTTGAGCCACCTGGCTGCAGCTTTGCATCCAGTATTGGAGTCACCCACGGTGCATCCGACCACCTCTTTCATCTGTAACAGCACCAGCAGCATGCTGCATTTATGGAGCAACAACAGAGATCTGGAGACATTCCCAGACTCAATAGTCTGTGGCTTCTGTCACTGTCAGCTTTAATAATCACATCCAGCCAAAAACATACAACCTGCTTAATTTAAAGCTCAGTGACTTTAAAATGCAATGCACGTACTGTCCCTGCACTGTAAACACTACAGCAAGGTGTACAGTAAAATCAAGTTCCAATCCTGAGATAATACGGACTCCATTAATTCTTCAAAGTTTTATTGGCATTTAGAGACCCCCAAAAGTCTCTCTAAGGCACATATTTATTCTAATCAGCCTCTGCTGTCAGGAGAGGTGTTTATTCGCCAATGAAGCCTGCATGCATAAGGCTGTCACCCTGCAATAAAACAGGCAATGAGGCACTGGGCACTGTGGTTTGGATGGCACACATATTCTGTCACATTTGTTTCAGAGAAAAGGTATTCAGTGGGGTGCAGGAGAAAAGAAAAGTCTGACCATGCTCATTAAACCCACTAGCTGTTCTTTACCATAAATCTGATGTCAGCACTTAGTCACATGTCTCCTGAGTCTCCAGAACCAGAGTGGATGGATGCCACAGTGCTTAAACTGCAATCCCCCCCCCCCCCCACCCCCCCCCCCCGCTCCCTCCCCCATCCACGGCTCGCTCTTAGTCACAAAACTGCTCATATTACAGTCTGTGTGGTTGTAGGGCACACTGCAAACAAGACAGCATGTTATTTCAGTTCTGGCTTTGAACTCTCACTGATGCTCAGTGTTCCTCATTATAATGAGTGTATGGGATTTTTGTCAAGGCAGATGAAGTGATGCACATAAAAAAAAAGTGTTAAGAAATAAAATGTGACCTGCAGTTGCACAGAGAAATTACATTTTTAATTAACCGCATATATAAATGCTCTGCGGACACATGCAATGCAGTCTCAAATTGTCAATGTACACATTCACATTATGTGGTCCAGCAGGAGCCATACAAGGCTGAAGAGGAGTCTGCATGAGTGTTTGTTGCCAAATGTATGGTGGTGGTGCTTTAGCTATAGTGCCTGAATCCATCTGCTCCATCCTACTCACCAAGTATGATCCCATGTGATTCTATGGACTGAGAATATGCAGCTGACAGCTGGCCAAACCTACACAAAACTTTTATCCCCCTCAAATACTTTCTTAAGTAATCACACAGCTAATAAGAAAGGCCTCTTATTATAGAAGAACTTTAAATATAGTAAGAAACTTATTAATATAGTACAAGCACATAAATAGATGAAGAGAGGATGTTTGTGTCAATGGGAATTACTTTCAGAACTAGTATTTCACATCAAGTCTAACACTAATAATCATCAGGATGATTTCGCCCTTTGGCCCAGAATCATATCCTTAATTTGTTAAATCAACATTAAAATGACTCGTGGAGACACCGCTGATCCTCTTGACCTCATGTGCATTTAATTTGCGCGCAGCTCTTCCCCTACCGGCGATTACCCACGTGGCTCTCGTTAATCTGACAGACGGCACATGTTTACTGATTTCTATCATGGGAATAGCCGAGCCTGTTGCTGTCCTACCTAGTCGGCTAGAGCAGTGCTACTGGAGGGGAATCATCCCTCTCATCATTGAGAGAAACCAGAAGAGAAGAGAAGACTAACACAGACGCACCAAGAAGAGAAGAGGCTTTAATGTGGATAAGAAAGTGAACCAGTGTTTTTTTTTTTTCCCCACCCCCACCTGATCCGCTACAGTCAGAGGAAGTAACTTCACCGGACATCAGACAATGTAATGATTTGTTTCCAGCGCTTTCTTCCAGCCGAGTGCAGACAGTCACCAAAGCTTACCTCGGTGCGCCCCGGAGCGCGGAGCAGAGTGGATGGCCACAGCGTGCAACTTTGCTGAAATGAAGCTCAACTCTCCCCTCCGCTCATTGCTCCCTGTTGTCGCGGCTGCTGTTCTCACAGCTGTTAAAGGTGAGATTTGTGACTGCTCTTTGGGTGAGTGATAAACAGCTTCTGCTTTTATTTGCTCACTGGTCTGAATTGCCTCATTTGTGCTGGAGCACACCAAAAAGAACGTGTAGATGTAAACGCCTTACATATATGAAGATCATTGGACTGGACTGGGTGTACCTCAAAGGCTTCAGCTGTGTTTACAAGGAGACATTAATGAATATGAAACGAGTACATATACTCTTGTGTTTGCTTTGATGATCTGAACACACATATAAACTGGATATGTTAGGTTTGCTTTAATACCCCCCCCCCCCCCCCCCCCTTTTATTGAAGTCATGATTCTGGCGTGATTTCAAATGTGCACAAGATGGTGCAGCAGACTGCTGTTTGGCTTTAGGCTATTATGAGCACAAACTTTAAGGAGGCCCACTAAAAGACTATTTGGTTGTGTATATTAGGAAGTGTTTGAGAAATGACCCTTAAAAAATAGAAACAGCTCGTAAAATGTTCACACTGGGATTATGAAACCATTTCATTGCATGATGTGTTCAGGTTTTTTTTTTTAAGTATATAGGGTTGTAACTTTTTTAAATTTTCTAGGTTTTATGGTTACTAGCCATGGCCTCTGCCCATTTCATTGTCCCTCTGTCTAAATGAAAGTAACAACGTGCTCTCCAGTGTGCATCTGTGGGATTAAAGAGGCCTGAAGCTGCGGTTGCACAGCTGTTTCTCTGGTTGTTTAAAGATAACCTGCACTGGAAGCTGTCTGTCTCTGTGATACCGATGTCATGCGAAAGACTACTTTCTGAGATTGCCTGGATTTATATATCTGCACATGATATCTGCGTGTGCATTTTTCATACATATGACTGTCGTATTCCTGCTAGTGGAGGACTCAGCTGTGCAGCTGTGTTCTTAATGCGTGTCTAAGTGATAGGGTTCAGCCTTTGATATCTTCTCTGCTTGGGAGCCATGAATATGCATGACAGCCTTATCTTTCAGTCCAGTCACAGATGTACCGCCTGTTGTGTCAGCGAGCCTGTCTGAGATTGAACTAACGTTTACAATAGTAGTTCAAATATTTCAAATAGTTCATTTTTCTCGGAATATCACAAGTCAAGATACTTCAGGGAATCCAGCCAGGGTTCACCAAATTAATATGTAATCAATAAGAAATACTTTTACTGATGTACAGCAGTGTACATCAGCAGTGGGCTCATTTCAGATCTGAGACTGTAACTAAGACAGAAATAATGTGGGTTTATAACATTACTTTTATCAAAGGATTTTGGGAAATCTGCATTAATTTTCCCACAGTCTAATATTTACTAGCAACATATGAGTGTGTGATCATATTCTCAGTATGAATCATGTCCCTTCTCCAGTCGTTTTAAGATCACACATGTTGGTGACCTGTTTTGAACCAGACTGAGAATGAGTTTCCTCTTTATGTCCTCTTCAGTCCATTAACTGCTCTAACCTGCGATATATAGCCATGTGATGGGGGAGTTATTTAGTGCGAGGGTATATTTTAAGATGGATTTACAACCTTGAGAGAGCACGGGTCCTGCTTATCGATAAAAACATAAAAAAAATTATTCTCACATCTCCCTCATCCTTGTTTGAATAGAATATTGATGTTAAAATAAACTAGACAGAATTTAAACTAGAAAGCACAAACATTAAACTAAACATTTCTAACACTTTTAGACTAAATATAAAATTTGGAATCAGTCCCTTGATTATTATCTTTTAACAATGAATTCCTTTTTATGGCTCAAATCTAATAATTGTTTAATAATCCCGGATGTTGATCATCATAGAAATTTAATTAGTCGATCTTTGGCCTAGAGCCTATCTGTTCACCAGATGTAATAGAAATCCATTCATGGGTTTTCAAAGGGTTTTTAAAAAGAATTTGTATAAACAAACATCATTAACAGCAGGGATCCAAAAATAGAAAGTAAAAAACTCATTACACAGTTCAATCACCTTTTGCATTTTGTTTCATTTTACCTCTGGTTTGCCTTAAATCTGCAGACATCATGGAGAAATGATGTGCATCAGCCAGTATCTATTTTGGCCTTTAATGTGAAACTCCTTACAACATCAGTGTGATCTCTGGAATATATAAAGACAGCTTCCCGTGTGCTTTTCTGAATGCTACATTTTTAATATTAACTCTGACATCTGTGTTTTTTTTTCACAGACTTTCCTTTCCCTTCAGGAAGAAAATTGATTTACATATAGATGTATTCATGAAATATGGTTTGAAAATCAGAAAAAGAATGATATATAACTTACTCACTCACTGCATTTGCCTTTAGATAAGTTATTTTTCTGAGGGAAGGGAAAGTCAAATAACACACATTAATTCCGGAGCGCTTCAACATGGAGGATGGCAAAGTACCAAGTGTCTTTGGCAGGAGGAAGTGGGAGCTGTCACATACAGCATCCTGGAAGTTTCAAGAGCCTTTTAATGCTCAGATGCTGTATTTGCCATTCCTTTTACTGCATTGCGTAGAAGTGGTATGTTGAGAGTGGAAAGTGTAATTTGTGTCAATGGACAAGTATAATTGAGACCTTTGGTGCACAGGATCCCACATAAGAGTTGTACACAAAGTAATATTGTGTTTCATTGCTAGAAAAGAAAACTACAATGACAAATATAATGAGTTTAATCTCCTGAAATAGAGTCATTTAGAGTTTCATTTAGCTGAACATTTCATCCGCAACCTGTAGATTTACCATAATTGCTACCATCTGGTTACATGGCACAGGCTAGACATCAAAATGACAGTATATATGATCTTTTTCTCCATCACTCCAGCTACAATGAGTGCCATCATTAGACTGCTAAATGCAGTGGTTGGCGAAGGACAAATGTGAATAAATCCTTTCACCTTTTTAGGGACAGGAATAGCCGGAGTTTGCAGTCGCTTGAAAAGCACAGAGAGCCCAAAAATGCGCTGAGCATAAAACTATTAAAAAAAATCAGTTAATCTTCATCATTACGCAGCAGTTTTGATGATCCTAAAAGTTAATGTTCATAATGATGCAGTAATTGCTTTTTAAGTTATTTTTTCGCAGATGTCTGATGTGCAAAAGTTCATCAAATCCAGCAGCGAGCACAGTTTTAAGAGACAGGATTACAGTTGCCTCCAACTCATTCAATTTTCTGTTCCAGCCTATTCAGACGTGCCTAACACCTCTCTCTCTCTCCTGTTTGTCTCAGTTCTCACGTTCCTCCACCATAAACACCTTTTTTGCTTTATCCTCTTTTTCAGTGCAGGAACAACGTGAGGGAATGAACCATTTTTGATGCATTGACTTGCATTGACTCATTGACTTTAGAGTCAACTTTATCACCCTTGGTTCCTTAAGATGACCCTTTTGGCACACAACCCCCACCTCTGTCCTCCACCCTAACCTGTGTTTCTTCAGCTGTGATCCCTTTCTCAACCCCTCGTCCTCCTGTCATCCCCATCAAATGTTTGCAATTACAGTAACAGAATGATTTTGTAAGTGACAAATATTTGTATCAACAGATTTGACACCTAACACTGAAATGAAGTTACTGTGCTAAGCTCTCTTTGTATACATCTCCCCCCCCCCCCCCCCCCAGTGGCTGAGAGTCAGAAGTTTGCTGAAGATCTCGGGACGTCCTCCACACCATCTCCGGTTTATCCCACCGTCAACTTTCAGGTCCTCAATGTGGACCATGTGATTTTGAGGCAGGACAGTCCAGAGCCATCAGGGAACTCCACCCTGAAGGGCCACACTCAGACTTTCCTCATCACTGGCCCAGGTGCTGGGGTCCTCCAGTCCGCTGTCAACGCTTCTTATGGCCCCCTGACTGTAGACGCCCCGATCCCTCCGGACCTGCTCTTCAGTGGACGCAGGATCCTGCCAGTCATTTTGGGCCGCCAGGTTCGTTCCTCGTCTCCTGTTGTTAAGATCCTCTTCCACATGCCCACAGAAAGCAACATCGCTGTTGGGCAAGAAAGGATGGGGTCTGGGGAAGATAACGGGAAGACAAGCGGTGGAGTCAAGGCAAAGGACGGAGCTCACTGTGTGACGGCTTACGCCTTCTGGGAGACGAGGGAAGTTCGTGGGGCGTGCCTGGTGTCTCCAGGTGGATTCTGTGTGGCACAGCTGAAGCCAGAACCTGTCTGGTTCAGCTCGGCCAGCCGATCAGGAAGCTCCAGCAGGGAAGCTGGAAAAACCGAAGGAATTAAGGGGCTTCAGGGGAACCTAGTGGAGGTCTACTTCCAGAGTCGGAGGGACCAGACAGGCCAGTGTACCCCGCAGGACAGCCTGCAACGTGTAGGAGTGGGAAGAGGAAGAGACTCTGGGGGATCAGGGACACCCATGAGGCGGATAGGAAGTGTTAATCTGCTCAGGACTCCACCCGGAAACCCCACCTTCCTTCGGCTGAGACTCGGAGGCGCCGTGGTGATCCAGACATCTTCCAAGCCCCTGAAGACCACCGATGTGGCAACTTTCTACATCTTCCTAGCTAGTACATCTACCCTGGAAAGTTTCACACTCAGGTGAGAGATCTTCCCTCTTTTTTTTCTTTTAATTATTGTGCTCTAAATGGTATGTTTTGGTAAATTCTGTTAGCTTCAGTCAGAGCTGGGCTAGCTGTTTCACCCAGTTTCCAGTCTTTATGCTAAGCTAAGATAACCAGCTGTTGGCTGTAGTCTCAAATGTCTGAGACGTGGACATGAGAGTGGTATTTCATCTTCAAATAAGTCTATTTCCCAAAATGTCAAACAATTACTTCAGTGGAAAACATCACCATCACAAAGTTCTAGGGATCTTTTTAAACATACAGTGAATAAAAAATGTACCTTTCTAGTACCTGTTCATTACTCTGTGGGAATTGTAATACATTTTCTTCAGCTGAGCACCTATTGGACACTGACCTATCCTCTTACATTAAATTTTACCCTGGCCTCTGATAATGTGGGTACATTGCCGAAGTGATTTGAGTTCTTTCGGCGCAAGACCAAGCCAAGCCTCTGGTAATTTGAGATAAGTCCAAGCCAAATCTCAAATCTGTCAGTGCAGATCTGAAGTCAAGCCTTAAGTTTTTGAGGGGAATTCAAGTCGCAGTGCTTCATAACCAAATTGAGATTCCAGTCTTCCATGCTGACAATTAAACATGGCATTTACACTCTTTTCATTCAAAAGCTGTATTGTTAGGGTTTTTATGTATTTAGTCCTACAAAATTACATTTTATTGGCTGTTTTGTATGCACTGTGGTGATGTTGCTGCCATATTTGCATAGCTATTTAGGTATCTCGAAAGCCTGTGTCTGCCCTTTCATTTTGGAATAAACAAATATTACACTAAAGCAGTTTAAACACATACTGTAGTAAGTATGCCAACATCATGCTTTGGCCCTTCAGATGGTGTTTAGTGAAGAATGTCACCCCCAGAAAACATAAGAATTATTCAACTATGTTGCTGAGTTTGCAGAGATGAGAGTTTAGGTGGAGTCGCATAAAGTTTAATCATCACTGAAACATGTGAAGCAGAAAAAGAGACAGAAACCAAGTTGAATCATCATGATGTACAGTATATTTGAGCATCTTCATGAGGGATAAGCTCCATGCATTTAAATGGTTACTTAAGGCACTCGAATACTGATATGGCTCACCATCAAGGCCACGCCGTGAAATGCTTGAGCGCCAACACGACTTGTGTTATCTGCCAGTTTCACTGGCTTCATAAATTACTGACATGTTATATCCTGTCTGCTCAACTTCTCAGTTAGAGGGGGAGTTATGGAGAGCACTCCTCCATAAACAGGGAAATAATTGGGAAATGATTCACCAGTTTTCATATCTCAACATCCCACTAACATTTCAACAAGGTTCTCTGGGTATTTGACTTCATAAATAATGCATCTATTTAATGGCGCAGGAAACAAATAACTAACATCTTCCTGACTACTTTGGAGAAAAGTGAACTTAATATAAAAGCAGCCCTGTCACATTGAAACACACGGTTCAGTCTGCTGTGAACGTTTCTACTTGCTGCCTTTTGATGCACATCACTGAGTGGAGTGAAATTGTTTTTATCAGCATGTTTCAGATCAGTAAAGTGTAAAGCCACCACAGTGAGGTTTCTGTTTCCAGTCTTTACTCAGCTTAATGGTTTTGTTTGAAACGCAAGACAAATTTCTCTCTAATCCCATGATTTAGTGATATCATGCTGCAGACGCACCAGCGCCATGGTAATCTGCAGCAGGATGCAGGCAAATGGAGAGAAATGTTAAGATATGTGTATTAATCCATAGGACACGCAGTTAAACCTGTGGCTGTGTGTCGGTCAATCCCAGTCCTCTTCTCAAACATCATACACAAACAGTGACACGCTTGCACACACACACAAACACACAGACCCACTGACCTGAAATGGGGCATTGTTGAAATTACGTGAATACAATTTGGTAGAGAGACGCTGACCCTTTAACATCTGCTGTTGTTTTGACTATTTGGAAGGATTTACAGCCTCTTCACCTGATATTTCCCAAACCTGGACTCACTGACCGTAGCGCTGAAGTTCCCCCCAGTCAGGTCAGTGATTTCAGTCTGTGTATTTCTGACCCACTGCCACATCCAGAATGAGATTGGACAAGAAGAGGGGACAGAGTCCAGCAGTTAAGTCCAAGTTGAAGGCTAGCTCTGAGGAGCTTGGCAAAGTGATTGATTCCTCCTGGGAGAAATCCGTGCTCTACTTCACTCTTTGGCCCAAGATTGAGTCCACTCCAGCAGGGTTAGGCCAGATAATCTGTCGCCCTGATTGAAAATGAATCAAGAGGGTTAACCCTTTGGGGTAGAGATGATCTGGGCTGACTGCCAGGATTAACCATGTACATCTGTGTGTGTGTGTGTGGTGCATGCGTATGTTTTGCAAGGCCATTACATCCACCTGTTCAGCACACAGACAGCACATAAACACACTGTTTTCGCATGCATTTATCAAATGGAATAACAAACATTTTGTGATCTTGATATTATTTTTGGTAGAAATAGCAGAAAAGAAGCAAAATTGTATATTTTTCTCTGCACACATAAGAGTCTAACATCAAAAAATAAAAATAAACAGTACTTAAGCTGAATGTTTGAATGTAATATTAGGGAAACACAAAGTGTCCTCCGATAACAAATTACCGGAAAAAAATCGTCCCTCACTTCCGCATGAACGGCTAATGGAATTAACAGGCAAACAACAGAGTTGGGAGCTTTCCAGCTTTCACAGTTTTAAACAAAGAGATTGAAAGAGCTTGGTAAAACAGTGGTGAAGAGTTTATGGGTCGATATCCATTCTGTCCCCCACCTGTGGTCATGAACTCTGGGTAGTGAATGACAAAGACAAAGAGCGAGTATAGAAGTGCCCGAAATGAGGTTACTCCACAGGGAGGCTGGTGTGTGCTTGTGGGTGAGAAAGCCAGTGATCCGGGACAGGAAGATCCTGGCATTGAGTTAAAACCCCTCCGCACTCAACAGGAGCTGGCTGAAGTAGTTTGCACCCTTGGCAGGGGTGGTTATCAGGGGCTGTTGTTACTGCCACACTGAGCTGGACAAGCACCAAGATAATGAGTCAGTGGATATGGTTAGTTTGGGTCTGATATGCTAAAACATCTGTTAGTTTGATCTGAAAATCAAATGATCACCTGTTTTTTAAAGAGAGAAAAATTTAGATAAGAAAAACGACAAAACTAACATCTTCCAAAATGAGGTTTTTCTGATTTGTTATCTTGATTTGCCTTATGTGTGATAAAATCAGTGTTTATATGTGCATTGAATCTTGAACATTCATTGAAATCGTAAATGAAAATAGTAATGTGGAGATTTTGCCATTGGCTACAAGGTTTTGATCCAGAAGTGTCTTTATCCAGCACTAGCTGAATTGTCAGTTTGCCAATGTGCTTCATAGACCAGTTGCACTGTTTGTGTGTGTGTGTTTCTGCCCTAAGCTACTTTTGGGGACTAATGTCAGACTAAAGACCAGTTAACTGGGGTCAGCTTGTCCAACTGGGGACTACAGCTGTGTACCAGATTGGGTTTAATCTAATTTTTGTCAGCGGTCAAGGTTAGAGCAAGGGTTAGGGTTACACAGGTAGTGGTTGTGGTTCGAGCTAGTCTCCGGGAAATGTGTGTATGTGTGTGTGTGTGCGCACTTGTAAATGCTACATTGTGAGGACCAAAAATAGTTTTTTCCTGACAGACTGAGGAGATTTTGGAAAAGTGAGGACATTTTGGCTGGTCCTCTACTGATATACCTTCAAATGCTTGTTTGAGGGTTAAGACTTGGTTTTAGGGTTAGGGTTAGAATGAGGTTTAGTTTGGGGTTAGGTTTAGGCATTCAGTTGTGATGGTTAGGGTGAGGGGCTAGGGAATGCATTAGGTCAATGAGTGTCCTCACAAAGATAGAAGTACAAGCATGTGTGTGTACGAGCGCTCATGCATACTGTATTGTGTCCGTCACACAACTTTGACCTTGACCTCAGTTTCACTGGTTATTGATTAGTCTGGTTGCTCTTTGATCATAAATCAGTATTTGTGAGCGTGTGTATATGGACGTGTGTGTGTGTGTGTGTGTGTGTGTTGAACATGGTTATACATACTGACCATTATTCTAGCATGAATAGATTTTGTGTGTGAGTGTCTTTCCATCTTTTCAGTTTGAATGTTCTTCAGCTGTTTGCAGACAAACAACAGGTTGTTATAACAGAAAGAGATAATGTGCTGTAAAATAGCAGGTTGCCCCTCTAAACCATTACTGGACAGCAAATGTGCAATAAAAAAAGTATAATATGCTAATTATGATTATTCCCACATTAGAATTTTTCAGTAATTGGTATATGGATTTAATCTCTCTCTATCAGACCATGAAAGGATGGATGGGCTAGAGGGCCACTGCTAGAAAGTAGTGCAGAAAACTTGTTCTAATAAATCCTAAGTTTGTGTCTGAACTTGTTGATGGCAGCAAATGGTTTTGTGGTAGACATAATGAAAGTGTGGATCTGTCCTTCCTGGTATCAACCGATGAGACGGGTGACGGAGGTTTAATGGCACTGTGAATGTGTTTACCTCGCCTTTCGTGGACAATAAGCATCCTTTCATGGCTGCTGTCTACCTTTTGCGTGGTGCATACTTCTAGCATGTCACACATCCTCTCAAGACTGTTTCAACGACTTTAATTCAAAGGCATCCACAGTGTGCAGCATCTTATTGAGGTGGAGGTTTTTCAAATTATTCTCAGCATGAATATCCTGCTGACAAATCTGCAGAAGCTAAGTGATGCTCTCCAGTAAGCAAAGGCTGAATTCCCTCTGGAAGGTTTCCAGCACCTTGTTGAATCCTTGCCATGAAAAAAATTGGCCTGTTCCGAAACACATGAGGCTCCCACCCTGTAGCTAGGTGTCTGTGTGAGTGCAGATTAGGGAATTGGTGCATTTTTTAATGTGGATCAGAAGAGTTTCCTGTCCCTCGTTTTACTTTTCAGCCTGGAACTCGTATAACTGCTATATGACCGTGTCCAAGGATATTTGACGCAACATCATTATCATTATCAGAGGGAGGTGTGCTTTAAAAAACAAAGTCCTTGGTGATTGCTGGACCGCCAGGACTGTCTGGTCCATTCACATCATTCATAATAAGCATTTTGTCTCTCCCAGCAGACTGATTTGTGTGTCTGAATCAGACATCTGATTAACTGATTCCCAGTTCTCCCCAGGGCTAATGGGAATTAAATACTCCTGCTAATTCTCAGTCTGCCGGCAGCCTGCGACACATCAGTCTGTCAGTGACTCACCTCGTTTGGCACAATATAAGGGCTAATTACACAAATCACCACACATACAAAACATGTACATGTATACACAGGAAAAAAAACCCACATGCTTTTGCAAACAAATGTGCACGCACACTGTGCAGAATGCACGCCGCAGATACAAAGAGATGACTTTTACGAAAGCAAAGATTTGTTGTAGTGCTAATACAAAATACACACATGGTCACAGTTGAGATATTTCTGTGCAGTGTTGGAGCATTATCACCCTGTATTGTACAGTGTCAGTGTCAGTTGTTCGTTGGTAATGTGTTGTTGGTGTATGAAGCTTACTTTATTCTTTTACGTTACACAACTCACATTAAAGTTGGTTAATGAGACTCTCTGAAAGAGTACACTAATAGTCGAGATTAAAATGTATGCTCTGCTTTGTAACTAACTAGACTTTGTATGTATGTGTGTCTGTATTTACTGCAGGGCGACAGTAAAAGCGGGTCTGTCCTTCAGTGCAGCGCGGCCCAGCGACTCAGCGCTGTGGGACATTCTGGTGGAGCCTGGCAGAGGAGCGTCCCCCAACATGGTCTCTGTCGTCTGCCACAGGAAGGTCGCTATCACCGCTAAGAGGTCAGTACGCTGCATGTTTGGTTACTCGTGCACAGCATAAGACATCTGTGCGTTTTCAGCAGCCCCTAGTAAAACTTCTTTCTCTACACATAGAAAAAAAACCAAAACAATCTCCATCTTTTATCACTTATTGTCTCGTATGGCCTTTATTTTCTGAGATCTCAATAATCCCCAACTGCTCCCATACAGGAATGTGATCAGATGTCATGAAAAAACATCTTCAACGTTACTTTCTCTCTACATTCTCTTCGCGGAGCAGGGACAAATTGAAAATGAATAAATTCTTTCCCAGGGAAAAAGTAATCATTTGTGGCCTTGTTTTCTTGTGCTGGTGCACAGACTGTAAGCAAGAACAGAAAATTTAGTTATAGTCTGTGTAAAAGAATCAGTTATTGTGTCAGTTTCCATGTTGTATTCTTGCTTTTCGTCCGTAGAGTTAAGAGCGTACCCATGTGTATCTGAAAGAAATCTGCATTACAAGAAATTAGTTTTATATATTAGATTTATACCTGCTCTGCCTTTTGCAAATCCTATTTCATGCAGAAATTCTTCTAGCTAGAAAAAAAAAAACTGACCACCTCTACAGACAGTTGATGTCTAACACTCATTTTTCTAAAGTCAGCATGGGGTCTGACAACTGCAGAATATTAAGATGATACTGCGGTAACAAAGACATTGTAAAACAGCAATGGGAGGAATAAATCCATATCATCATGTAACTATTTTAGAAATTTTTTTTCTGTGTTGTTTTAATCCTCAATGCCTGGATTTCAGTTATTTCGAGCCGTAAGGCTGTGTTTAGTTTTTACTTGGATGCAGTGAAGCTGATAATTGGATACAGCAATGCTCAGAAATAGAAGATTGATAATTGGGGCCTCCTGTTTTCTCAGCTGGCTCACACTTCCAGAAAAATCAACTTAGTTTGACATAATGCAGCTCAGCTTAACTTAGTTTACTCACTTCCTTCAACTTTCTTTAAACCAGTTATCATTCTTTAAAATGATTTCTCCACAAAGGAATCAGACAAAGTCCACCAAAATACCACCAATACATCAAAAGCACATATACGTATATGAAACTGTCGGATAGTAGGATGAACTCTCATCTCCACCCTGTAGGATCACCAGTTTCACTCTCCAGATTCACTAAAATAAATTGTAAATGAGACATTTGAATATCAGCAGTAAATAGATCAAAGCGCAGCTGAAGTGCTTCTTCTTTCTTTGACTTATTTGTAAATGAATATTCATTTCATAGCAATTTCTCTGCCTGTTTCTCTGCCTAATACACACCAGTTGATTTCATCAGTGTTTCCTGATGCTGGTGGGGGCACACACCAGCAGCCACCTCTGCCCAGCAACCTCCCGCCCACGCAGACACACACACCACCCGGCGTCCGTCCGACCCACTTATCTGTAATCATCCATAATCACGGCTACGTTATCCAGGCTTAAGCGCTTGCACGTTCTGAAGGGGAGATTAGGAAGGAGAGATAGTCCAAGTCGTGTCCCTTGCACTGAGCTCCCACCAGGACACACACACACACACACACACACACACACACACCCACAGAAGCGCACACACACAGATTCTCTTACTACTGTGCTTTGAAGTGATGATATGTCCAGGGGTTTAAAGTCCCCCTTAATAGACAGATTTCCAGGAAATAGGGGCATTAACCCCTTCTATGTTTCTCTGTCTCCCTCTCACGCACACATACTGTTTTCAGAGTGGATCATTGTAGTCCATTTAAAATCCGTCTGAGTCCATCTTATTAAAGACAAGGATCACGTCAAAGAAAGTATGTTTATTTGAAATTCATTAATTATTTTGCTTGCTTTTAAGTACATTTTCCAAAGACACACATGACTGCAGGCATGTTACAAGGGTACAGAAACAGAGATTTGACATTCACTTATTTTAATTACATACAATATCTCAGTAGAATTACTATTTTCTAGTTTTGTCTAATTGTTAACATTTTATAACCGTCTGTTAAAGGAATAATTATACATTTTGGGAAATAATGTTTAATCACCATCTTTGACAAGAGTTAGTTGAGAAGCCTGGAAACAGGGGGAAGAAACTAGTTTGATTCATTCCAACAACAAAAAAATTTGTACTTTTACAGGGGATAATGTGCCAAGCTATTTTTTGGCCAGACTAGCCATTTCGCCCAGCTTCTAGTCATTATGCTAAGCTAAATTAGCAAGACGCTGCTGCTGCTGCCTTCATACTCGGTATACAAACATGATTGTGGGATCAGTTTTGTCGTGTAACTCTCATCTTTGTTGTTGTTTGACGAGAAAGACTAGTCCAAAGCTTCCGGACGCACACACTCATAAGTGACCGAGAGCGCCACACATAACCTTCTCGTAATGTGTTACTCCTCATTCGTTATTACAAAAAAGTTCCTTTTGATAGAGCATGAATATTTTTTTATGTTAATATGAGATCTATTTTACATGCTTGCGTTTGTCCTCGCTGCTGGTGATTTCAACAGTTGTGACCTCTAATTACATGTGAGTTGTACAGAAGCTCATTGTTTTGCTTTATGCAAAGTTTTACTCCACTTCAAAGTGCCACAGCTCCGTTCACATTCAGCTCTATTTTCCCCTTTGATCTGTTCATACTGGCAGGTATGCCTACATGCTCTCTCCAGCATCAAATAACATCAAATGGTATTTCTTTGACAATCCTTTGACCAGAATATTTGGCTGAAATCTCTGCCAGTTCACTTAATCTTCCCTTCAGACTCTCACCTTGTTCTTCCGTCTGCCGATGGAAATGAGACCTCTTTTGTATTGCGTTCACTTACGGTTTAAACTCTGCTGTTTGTTTTGCATGAAAGTCGGAGCAATTTCTATGTCTTTCATTTTTACAGGCAGTGTCTAAATGTCTTTGCAAACATTTACATTTCTCCTCCAAGGAACATGAGAGAGCACACGCCTTACCTCAGCCCCTTCTGCCTCTGTTGTACTGAACTGCCTTTACCTCTCGACACTAGACAGGGTTCTATGAAAAATGTCAAATACAACGTTTTCAGAGGTTTAATCACAAATATTCAGCATGTTTCTGTTGAAAACTGACTGACTGTTTGATTTTGTTATCTAACCTGAACCAACTCTAGTAATTAGCCTAATAAAGTCTAAGATTACACTAAATGGACCTCTTTCAAAAGGTGCTAACAATGTTTTTAAACTCACAATTATTACTCTCAAACAAAACATCGCAGTTAAACATTCAGCAGCTAAATCTTGAACTGTATGTGGGCGGACACAAACAAAATTTCTAATTCATGTTTAATTACTCTCCACTTTTAACACTTAATTTAAATTGAATTTAGTTCAATAACATAAACAGCCACGTTGTTGCTATCACTTCTGAATTAATAGTAAATGAAAATGTCAAAACAGCACATTCCTATATTTACTATACATGTACAGAAAATCAGTACTGTGTATCAGTGAATGTCCAACCTAAGACATAATATAGTTTTAATTTTAAAAGTAAGTATTATTAACACATTCTGAATTCATAAGCAATAAAACACACCTTTACTTCACTAAATACATTTAGAAGTTTCGTTGCTCCAGCCTTACTTGGTCTTGTGCGACCAGTAGCTTGGCCCCATAATATCCACATTGCGGCCACACTGGCTGTTCAGCAAAACGCTACCTAAGCTTCACTTGTCTAAGCATATTATATTTTCAATTTTTATCTTCAAACAGGGGTCTTCTGGAGGTTTTGCAGCTTGACTTTGTGCCGAAAGACGTTTCGGAGAAGGCTGAGAGTCAGACGATCTCCTGGCGTCTGGAGTTGCCAGGGAACGTCAAGGATGTGGGCATGATGCGGATCTACACGACCCAGAGAGACTACGTGGGGCTGGCACCTCTGGTCATGGTGAGGACAATATCTGTGTCAATTTTGAAATGCTGGCATGTGTGCAGTGTATTTTTCTTTTCCTCACATGGACAGAGCACATATGTACGCACACACTTCTGTTTTTTTATATCATTACTTATGTCGTTTGCACTCATTTGTGCCTTACATACTTTATGGTTGTGTATTCATCACTATGATTTAGAAACTGCGCGTTCCCTGCAGCTTGCACCCTGAATTATCTAAACGACCAATTCTCTCGAGTGTAGTCTTATTAATCCTGATGTTTGAGGAAGGAGGAGCTTCTAAAAGCCAAAGGCCTCGGGTCACTTGGCTTTGTCACAGGTGGAACATGAAGACAGGGCATGTTAGCGTGTCCAGTCTTAATGAAGCTGGAATTTATTGCCCCAATAAAAGGCAATTTTATACACTGAACTTCCTGATGATTCCGTCGACGTATATAAACAAGGTGAGACGATATCATCTGGGAGGACGCATCATAAATGTGCATCATAAAAAGTACGGTCCTGGTTGCGAGGAAAAAATAAAATGCTGTAGCTATCCGCTGGTCTTACTTGCACAGATGTTCTAATCTTTGTTCCGCCATCTGGAAGTGTTCGACATTGGCCATGTTGGCCAAATGTCCACCTGTTCGCGAGGTTCTAGTCACTCGTTACATTTATGTTTTATATGATCTGTTCTGTCTTTCAGTTCATACAGGCGAAGGCAAAAGTCTTGGAACGTCTTAGGCTACAAGTAATTTTTGCTTTTTAAAGCAGTAAAATAAATATGTCAGCAGCTTGTCACTTTTGTCACCAATCATTTTTTAACATTTTGTGCATCTCCATGTTTATCATACGTCTGCACTGTCGAGATCACGTCTGCCTGTTTGCAAAAGACACACTGCGATCACAGTATTATCTGTGATGCATCAATATTATTCTTGATGCTTAGACTGTTCCCCTGCTGCTATGTGTACTTGTCTCAAAAACCTTTATATTTTCAGAACAACCACCAGAAATTAGGTAGATCCATGTTTGTCTTTGACAGGAGGTTTATCTTCCGCTACAACAGTCAACACGAATCAGACAAACACTGGGGAGCAAATGTGTTTCATCTCAGTCACTTAAAGGATTCACATGAGGAGAAACCGTGGAGTGAAAGTCGGCTGTAGCACTTTTCCTTTTAAACCAGAATAGTTGTAGCTTTATATTTATAGGACAACAGATACGTTACAACCAGACGTGAATCTCCACCACCACTTGACGTAAATGAATAAAAGCTGCAGGAAAATAAACTCATGTAATTCTTTGCATGTCATTGTCAATTGCACTAGAAAGTGATGGAAAGGCAACAGTGTGTTTGATTTGATTTGATTTGTCTGAACTTTCTGTGTGTTGTCTCCATGTTAATGTAGTTTTTACCTCTCTTACGTGTAGCATTATATAGGATCTGGCACTGAATGAACAAACAACATCAAGACAAACCACAGAGTGTAAATATAACGCTGTTTTCAGAAAAGAGGCAGATTTAAAGGAGAGCTGAACTACTTGAGCTGAACTTGATCACCACAAGCCAGATTACTGCAGAGCTTGCGGAAACATCGGACATCAAGATCTCTCGGTGTGGCACTGCCAGCACTGCGGAGCGTTGATATTGCTTTCTGATTTTGTGCTACCCCTGATCCAGTGGCTTATGTTTGGGCCAGTGTCGCCGTCTGAACTAGAGCATGTCCTTTTGGAATTGCGGTCAGCAGCTGTCAAGCCGACAGAGTTCAGAATGTGAAGCTGCCGGGCAACATCTGCCGAGTGCTGTCTGATGCTTTAGTCCACAAGCATCAGAAGGAAAAAAAAAAAAAAAACCACACTGAGCTTCTTATACACATACACACACCCACACACACACACACACACACAGAGAGTCACACAGAGAGAGAGAGAGAGAGAGAGAGCGAGAGAGAGAGAGAGAGAGAGAGAGAAACTGCCACTACCTATAATAGATTAAAAAAAGACGTTTCTTATAGACTGGAAAGTAGTTGGAAATCCCTGTTGAAGAAGGAGTAGTGTGTAAAAATGCAGCCATAAGAGCTAAGCTGTTGCTCAGCTTTGACATAGCTGTACAGTACAATGTGGGAAAACGGGTTGGAAGATTAGAAATATAATCAGGTTTAGGTGTTAGTGTGAATATGAGTCTTGATCTGTGGGTAATACACTACAGTAGAGGACTTATTTTCATCCAGGTGTGTAAGAGAAAGACATGCACTGTATATTATCATCAAAGAGATATTACTTTTTAGTTGTGTTGTTTTTTTTTAACACATCTGTCCAGGTTTGTGTGTTGAGTGTTGCATCAGTGTGATTCAAATGAATCAAGTTTGTCAGCCTGCGAGTGTTTTAATCCCTGTTAGTCTTGCTAACACCCACTCTCTGTCTGTCATCCCTGCCCCCATACAAATAGTGATTATATTGTATAATGTATTAGTTCAGCTGCATATTTAGAGTTTGCATGGTGGGCCTGTTGCTGTTACATAGCAATATACCACATGTATCAGAAGCCCGTCTTCTTCCTGTTTACCTTCACTCTTATAAAAAAGCAGTAGGCGTGTAGATAGATTAGTTTTTCCATGTTTCATAATTACCTCAACTTTGGATAACCTTCTTTTTTATATTTCTCTGTGTGCAGATTGAACATGCAGCGCAGAACATACTGAGGGAATCTACAGTAGCATTTGAAATTACATCCACTTGAAATTGTTGGTGGAAAGTGCAACATATGGTGTAGTTAGAGTAGACAGTCATCTTTGGAAAAATGTAATTTACTTCTTTGATCTTTCAGCTCATAAGTAGCAAATGAGCTAAAATTGGCTAGTATCAGTCTCAGCCCTCATCCTTCAATCTACACTCACAAAAATAAGAAGCATCCACAAGTTAGTCTCATTCTAGGTAAGAATGCAAAGAGTGAATTTTTTTTCCAAAACAGCCCAAACCCACTGCCCCCTCGCTTTTACTGTACAAGGTGGTGAACAAACCTGCGACATTTTTACCAACCCACATTACTAACCTGCTCTGTATTTGCTCTTCTCCCTGCACAGAACACAGATATCTTGAATACTGCAGTGCTGACGGGTAAAATGGTGTCAGTCCCTGTGAAAACTCTGGCTGTGGAGGCTAATGGTTCAGTCACAGATGTGACCAACTACACCAGCTGTCGGTCCACAGAGGAGGATGCACTCAAGGTAAGCCATTCCAACCACAGGCCCGGTCATCCTGGATTGGAATAATCACTGTAATCATTTCCATGCTGTTTGTGAATTTCACGATCCAAACCAAATTCCAAACTATGTGTAAACCAGGTATGCTTTTTTTTTATTTTAGCATGTGATAAATTAATAATTCCTTCCTTTTATGCCAGATATGGAACTCTCCAGTGGGTTTTGCTGGTATTTAGACTTTTCAGTAGATTTTCTCTTTTGTGCATTAGTACCACACCACAAGTTAATCTTAACTAATGTGAAACTGGGCAGTTTGGTCATTAAGTATTCACTGTGTATGCAATCTGTAAAGTATGCACAAATAATATATAATCCCTTAGTTTCAAACAAAAACAGCTTTTATATAAAAAAAAACCCCTATTGCAGCAATTGTTTCTTTCTTATTTAATACCAGTATGAATTTAATATATCATCCGTGCCTAATTTGCATACAAAGCAAGTTTGCTGAATGTTTAACGGTAATTAAACAGAATTTTGGAGGCATTAAAAAATGAGATTCATTCTGGTGTATGACTCCAAGACATTCACTGTCTCTGTGCCATTATGCTCTGTGTGTGTGTGTGTGTGTGTGTGTGTGGAGGCATCATGGATAAAAGCAGCCTCTTCCATATGGCATTAGAGACTGAGCTCATGATCCCACCACTCAGTCCATAAGCACAGTGAATTGACCTTTGTGTAATGGATCCATGTTACTAGAACAGTAGGAGCACAGAGAAAGGAGAGAGAGAGAGAGGGAGGGGGGATATAGAGGAAGAATAGCAGAAAGAAGAAGAAAAGGAATTATATTAGTTTCCATTAGAGGACACGGCAGTCACTGGCTTTTTCGAGTGTGAGGTGGTGAGTTCGAGTGTGCAAGCTTAAGAGAGGGAGAAAGAGCCAAAGAGCGGAGACTGTACTTGTAATGATTTTCTGTATCAGTAGAGGAACATAATCCAGTTATTATTGTGTCTCTGAATGGCCATCTAACGCTTTCTGCTGTCAGTGACCCCTGCTCGACCAAAGCCACAGACCAGATGAAGTTAAGGCTTGAAACCACAGACTTTATCTTTCATACCATAACTGCCACGGGCTAAACTGATGCACATATAGTCTAGTGCCCTAACTCTTAGATTTAGTGACATGCACTACTGCTAACAAATCTCTCTTGAATTCAGGGCCCATCTTGTGATTTTGTGCTGCCTGTGCTGAAAGTCTCTCTCCTGCATTTTGCTGCACTCTGCCTGAACATCTTCACCTTACTGCGCTCCTTCCTGGCTGAACAAGTGTTAGGATTATTCCTTTGAACTGACAGTAAACACATCAAACGTGCAGGAAAAAAACCACCTCCATGGTAATCTTCAAAATATTTACCATTAACTGACAATGACACACTCCAGTGACGATGTATAATCCTGTATTTTCCTGCCTCAATATGCTGACTTAAACTTCTCAAACTTACTGTAGATCTTTTTACAGAAAGCTCTGCAGAAAGGAAGAGATATAAATACAATAACTAAAAAGGAGGACAGAATTAAAAGCCTTAGGTATTATGTAATATTTACTGTGAATTGAATTAATATGCCTGTGGAAGCTGCTCCACAATACAAAGTAACTGCTTGCCGACCAAGGTGATTAGTAAGTAATTTACAAGATGAATGTAATCAGGCAATATCAGATCCTAATTGACGTCTGTTTCTAGCTGTAACTGGTCAACCACTGCTCGGCTTGCTTGTCCTGATGGCACTCCACATACAGACAGGAGGCTGGCCCTGGAAGAGTAAAGATGAAAGTCTAAAGCAGGCCTACCAACTGGCGGCCCGCAGGGCAACTCCAGCCCGTCAATCAAGTCAGACCGCCCCGCCGATCAATTGTTTAATTACAAATACGTTTTGGCTACAATAAATCCTTTAGACTGCAGAGAGGCTCAGTTTCACCGGTCCCAGGCAGTAACAGCAGTGTCTGTTGTCAAAACGTTCCCAACTTTCACAGCTGTCACGGCTCTCTCTCTCTCTCTCTCTCTCTCTCTCTCTCTGAGGCTGTTGGAGCACTGTGCAGCCCACACACACACACACACACACACACACACACACACACACACACACACACACAAACACACAAACACAGAGATGCCTCAAGCGGAGAGAACTTACCAATCCACGTTCCATAACAACTAGATGTTCAAAGTCCGTCACATACAGATGTTGAAATGTACAATTTTTGACCGACTTGCTGGTAGATCATCTGCCTGGAGCCCACACACAGAGTTAACTGAATCATACGAACATGGGTTAATGATAAAAAGTAAACATTAACCAGCTGTTTTTTTCCGAGTGTGTTGTTAAATTCAGTCTGAAATGGACAGAGCGTTATCTGATCTGTCGTTCACAAATTCAGTTTCAGGTTCAGGTCACTCTCAGAGCAGAGGGGGGTTTAGTGACTCGGGGTTTGCTGGTGAACTACTGCACCTTTTAAAAATACTGAACATTACAACAATACTGACATTTCCATCATTACAAAATCAGTCTGTAAGAGGGATTTGTTCAAAACAACGCTGTTGAAGTGTGCTTAACGATACAGTAACTTAACGATGCCCATCCTTAATTGTGTGGCATCGAATGCACAGGCAAGTTCAGTTCATCTTGAACTTTTGCATTCTCTTTGCTCGCTTATGATTTTGCCTCTTTTTGTAACTTAAAAAATCCTGTGATGTAGCTTTGTGAGAGATGTCAGAATTTACCAAATTATATGCCAGACAGCTGACATGACGTGTTGTAGAAAACTATGTGTTTACCTTTAATATTGCAGCTTATGTTGCGCAGAAAATCAAACGCAATATGGCAAAATATCAGTTTTGAAAATGTGGTGCCATGTTGTGTCAAGTGTACATAATGAGAATAGCTCAGGGAAACAACCGGCCCGCAGGCCCTTAGCTTTCAGGAAATGTGGCCCCCTGAACAAGATAGTTGAATAGCCCTGGTTTAAAGTAATCCACAGGGTAGTATAAAAAATAAAATAAAAAAGCATGACTTTTAAATTTTTTATCAACATTTCTCATTACTGAGTAGAAAAACCCACATGAATTAAGTTTGTAGAGTTTATTTTTCAGGTGCCCACTGGCCTCACAGTGCATGTAGTTACAGTGGAGAGCTGCACAAGACATAAGAGACATTGTTCTGGACCAGTCAGCATTATGGGAAAAGGTCTTCAGAGACTGGCTTCCCTCTACATTTCCACAGGAGTTCAAGTTGACTTACCTTGGAAGTCATTCCTCCTTCTGCTTTTTCCTCACTTTTTTCTGCCTCCGCCTTTTCACCTCCCTCTCTCCAGTGCCACACTCTATTCTCCAGTCTAGTGCTCTCCAATTACCTCTGTGGAGCCACTGGTTTGTTAAGATAAGTGAGGCGGCAGTGGAGATAGGCCTCCAATCTTAAATAAAACACACCAACTGCTGTGTCTCACCTCATTGCTCTCAATGGTGGGGACGGCAACACTCCCACCTACAGTACAGCAGCACTACAGGAACAGTCGCAAGGCAGAGCTCATTTATATTCGGTAACAGTTTCATAGAGACCACTGTTGTGAATTTACATGACATGAACAGAAACACAGTGCAATTCCCTGGCCAGACTTTGGAAGTTGTACGAAATGAATAATATGTTTGTGTCTGTGTGGGTTCGGCTTATTTGTATTGGTGCCTCTGTTCACACTCCCCTCTCTGTCAGTTTCTAACTAAAAACTTTCTTATTCATTTTCCATGGGGCTTTACATGGAAAAGCCTCTACTGCTGTAGGTCTGGAGAAAGTCGAATCCAAATCTCTAGACTGCAGTTCAGCCCCAGTTCTGGTCCAGTGATTCTAAAATGATTCTAAACTTTTTAAACTTTTTTTCTTTTCTTGCCCCAAATCAAGACATTTATAGTGACAGCGTGACAGACTGACAGAAAGAAAGGGATCCATTTGAGTATATGATTTTTTTTTTTGCGGGTGGGGCTAGATTCAAAGGACACCCTTGAGATGCTCATTCACCCTTCATCTTTCTTCTCTTTCTTGTCTTGTCCAGGTGTCAGAGGGCTGTGACTATGTGTATGTAAATGGAAAAGAGACAAGAGGAAAGAAGAGGGTGATGCTCAACTTTACCTATGGCTTCCTGAGTGCCCAGCTGGAGATGAGTGTGTGGATGCCACGGTTGCCCTTGCTCATTGATGTGGCCGACCCAGAGCTCAGCCAGATCAAAGGCTGGAGGGTCCCTGTTACTACCGGCAACAGGAGGTAATGTCCCATTTGCCTGAAGATGCCATGTGAAAAATATTCATACACAAATCCCCAGCTGTAAACTGAGACAGAGACACAGCACGGTGCTCTTACACTTCGTAATTCATATGTGTATAAGATATATGAGTCAAATCCCAAGTCAGAGCAATGAATCCCAAGTCCAAGTTCTAAACTTTGTGTTTTGGGTCCTAAGCAGGCCATTATGGAACAGCAGCAATGTTAAGCTAGCTAACATCAAGATTTTGTATATAGCTAACGTGTGGTTAAGCTATAGGTAGCCAGAAAAAAACAGAACATGAATGCTAGCCTCAATTTACTGTTCTGTATTCAACCTCAAATGCCGAAGGAAATCGTCACATCTCCATCTGTGAGTTTTTAGCCAAATATTTTGCATTATGCTGATGTTGTTGTCACATCAAGTCTAAAGTCACACATCTCTGCCTAACACTGATTTATGGGAGAATTTGCAGTAAGAACACAGAATACAAGAGATACCCACACTCACATGCCTCTTCTAGAAATATTTGTTAGCGTCCCCTCAAATTAAATGTTAATTAAATGTGTCATTTTCATATGTAAGCAACCAATTATTATTTATGCAGACGACCTTGTATTGAGATATTTAAAAGCAAAAAGCTTCAGATGCAGCTAGCCTTGCAAGAAATTTTACTGGATCTTTGCAAAGCTTATAATAATCAGTTTTTGTTGACAGAGAGATGTTGACTCAACTGTATGGTAATTTTTGAGTCTGTAGTTAGTGGTGGTGTTGAATTGGATTGTATTATATCGAGAGGTGTCTCATATAAATTCTAATATCCTTCTGTATACTGTATATGCAGTTAGTTGCTGTTTGGTGCATTAGTGAGTGGGACACTGTAGAGGCAACACAGTTGCCCTGGAGATAAAGGTTAGTGGAATTCCATTCAATACTTACAGTAAAGTCATTATTTTTCACTCAATAGTAATGATGATGGTCGACTGATGGGCTGTTAGATTTCTCCAGGGTAAAAACTCTTATGGGCTTTCATTTCCCCAAACATTCAATAACAGGCTCTAGACAAAAACAGATACTAGGTCAGAAATGTCTCTGTTGTCTCAGCTCGTGATGAAAAAAGCGCTGAATTTATTTGTGCCATGCCACTATGTCGGACACGTGCATATATGTGTCAGAGAAGCAACTGCAGTTATTGGCAGCAACAGCACAGATGCATGTTAGACTGGGCTGGGGCAAAAAAGAATCTACTTGTGTGGATTCATTGAATATCCTCATCCTTGCATTTTTTTTTTTTGTGTGTCAGTGTTATTTTATCTCTGGTGGTTTCAAAATAAATTGAAATAAGCACTTGCAATTAGTTCACACCAACAGAGTTTAATTAACACTAATAATAATACTGGATTCATTGACTGGATTCAACAGCCTGGGAACCCAATAAAAGGCATGACGGCTCAAGGGTCATCAAAGAACTAATAAGGAAGTTGAGTAACCATGGCAAAAAGACTCAACATAAAAACTTGAAACTTTAGTTTTTCCAAAGTGTTTTGGAAATCAGTGAGTCAGATGCTGAAAAAATACACTTGAACATGATACTATGTCTGCTGTAATCCAGGATTGAAGAAAGAGTTTGTTTACAGTCTGGTGTCGAGTCACACTGATTTAATTCAAGCAGCATCTCCATCACATGTTAAGCTCTGACCGTAGGCTATATAATAATGATGTGTATTTGGATCGTAGTTCTTGACAGGAGCTTTCTGCCTGCAGTGTGAAAACACATCCAACAATCCTCTAGCCCACCTGTGGTGCCATGCGTGGCAGGCCAGCTGTGCTTATGATAATTATATGATCATTACTGAGGGGTTTAAGGGTGGTTCGCAACTTAACCTCTATCACCCATAAACAAACCAGTGAGCGGTGGGATCCTGGTTAATTTAACTTAAATTCATTTAGAAGGAAAGGTCACTCAGCAGCAGCATCAAGTACACCGGTATTGCTCTTCAGAGTCTCTCTGCTGGCCAGCAGAAAACCACATTTAGGTGTCCAGATTTAAGATGAACTACATGATTCTGCAATATCAGTGTTTTGCAGTTTTAACAAGGTGAGATCAACTGAACCTTTATGAATGAGGTTCAATGCATTTTACTAAACAATTCAGTCATTTAATTTGAATTTATATTTATTTAGAATTTATTAAGAGCAAATCCATTTAGTAGCTCATACCCAGGTGAAATATTTTACAACAGATTCTTAGAATTAACAACACAATGAATTTATACCTGGAAAATATCTACATATTTGTAAATTGTGTCTTACAGTGCATGAAGTAACATATTATTAATATTTTGGCTAGACATTTTGGGAAACGCAGCAATTTACCTTCTTGAAATAGTGCCTGAATGCTAAATATGAAGCCTCAGCCGGCAGGTGGTTAGCCTAGCTTTGCACAAAGCCTGGAAGCAGATGGAATCAGCTAGCCTGGCTCTATCCAAAGGTTAAAAAAAAGCAGGGATTATATACAAGACTATTTCTTGGAGTCACTATGCCTGACCAAGAAATAACTTGGCTAATAACTCTCAATAAAACCACAATTTGTCACTTATAAACTATGTTTTTTTGGACAAATTAAACAATCAAAGATATATGTAATGTGTTAATCAGTGATCTTTAGAGGTACTGGTATGCATAATTGGTTTTTAACCTTTGAACTTATTTTCAGTCTTTATGCTAAGCTAAGCTAACCACCTGCTTGCTGTATCTTAAAATTTAGCATACAGGCATAAAAATGACATCTGTCTTATCATCTGTCTCTCACCAAGAACGCAAAGATGCTTGTTTCCAGAAGTATTCCTCTGAACTGTTGAACTGTGACTAATTGTGTTTGAATGCCTTTGTGTGTTAGGTCTACATGGGACAGTGAGGAAGAGGAGGAAATGAGGAAGGGCAGGGGCTGCATGCTGCAGTACCAGCACTCTACACTCAGAGTGCTCACGCCCTTTGTGGCTCAGGCTGGTGCTGAGGTGCTGCCTGATCTGCTAACTGGGGCAGAGCCTGTTGACTACTTCCTGGGTCCTGATTGGCAGGTAAAAACATTTGACAGTCCTAACCGAGGCTGACAAGCCAGCAGTCACTATCGGGATTATGTATATTTAAATTCATGTTTCAAAAGTTACAACAGCTAGCTAGACACTGAATTAGTGTAATGACAGTAATCACGCATGCTTAGCTTTGGCTGTTACTTAATATGATTGAAAGTAATGTTTTTCTTTGATTGACAGGTGGATGTGACCAATCTTGTACGCTACTCTCTAAAAGTGGCAGACCCTGACGTAGCCAGGGTGCATGATGGGGTGGTGCTGCAGGGACGGGCTGTGGGCATTACTACTGTACAGGTGAGTCATGAGATGTGTCTGTGCTTTTGTGTGTGTGTGTCTGTGTGTGTGTGTGTCCATTTGCAGTCTGAATGAGGTTGTACTTGTTGCAGGTGCTGTCCCCTCTGACGTCATCGGTCCTGGCTGAGAGGAGCATCAGGGTGGTGGATGACAAAGTGAGTTTGACAGAGCTGGGAGTGCAGTTGGTGTCTGGACTCTCTCTGTCCCTGCAGCTCAGCCCAGGGAGCAACAGGGCCATCATTGCCACGGCAACCACGCGGGAGGCGATCACGCAGCTCAAACAGGTAAGTAACTGGAAAATTGTTACACACAAAGCATAAAAATGTGAAGCACAGCTCAGCTGTCTGAGATGGTGCTTGTCTCCTTTTATGCCCGTTAGTTTTATCATTACTCATTTTTAGCCTTGCCACCTTACCAGTGAAGGGCCATTCAAAAGAATGTTAAAATCACAAGGGGCAAGAAATAAACAAAAGCAGTTGTATGTATGATTATAAAAGTGTGTTTGCTTATTGTAGGCTTGTTTTGATTGTCTCTTGGTCTAAATGGTATTTCCTTTTCAATTTTGAACCAGTCAAAATAGATTTTTCAAGTGATGCATTTACACACTTCTGTACATGCATATGGGGTAAAATCAAATCGTATCATGACATTCATTTTAAATTTAACTGTACTCATTTTATTCCTTTGATGGAAAATATACTAAACAACACTTACACTCTTTGTAGCTCCCATGAGAGCACCTGTCTGTGTCAACCCATATACACAGTTTCATCAGAGAGCATAACGAAGAGCATTAACACAAGTACTGAATTCAGATTGCTATAGGCTGTGATTAAATATCAAAGGTGAGAGTGTACAGTCGTTTTCACTGCATTTATTGTGTGTAATTATTTATTGCCTTTTTAAGTAAGCTATTCCCCTCTTGTAGCGAGCTCCTACTACTGCAGCCATGCATTTCCCTATGCCTAAAAAGTCATAAAACATCCCTGGGTTATTGTTCTTTAAAAGTGTGAGCATTTAACAAGCACGCCCCTGGCACTGACAGTTTCCCTCCTTTTGTTATGCACACCACCATGGAAACACTCACAGAAGCATGTATAATAAAGCAACAGCATAAATAACATCAGCATCTTCATAGAGCCATGTTTTAACACCAACATGCTTCTTGCGCTGTTAGCACATTAGAAATAAGGATTTGTGTTGTCACTCTTTGATTTGCACCTATGCTAATTAAACCTTGTACATGAGACCTGAACATTGATTTTAGTTTTTAAATTTCAGATTTAGCATTTAATCACAGTTTTGCTAAAGTCAAAGATATTGGCACCAGCCCAAGTGCAGTTAATTGATTAATTGATTGATTTTAATGTTGATTTAATTTGATTAGATCATGAATCTACCAGGTATATATAGGGTATGTACTATCGTGTTCCTGTAGTGTGCATTGTTAGGAATTAACGGAATTAAGGATTTAGGAGATTATAGGTTATGTGAATAAATGAAGTAGAAAGTGTTCCCGGGGGTCTGGATAGGGTAGCTCAACCTAGAGTTTTTTGATTGGGCAGACATGGAAACTTTCTTGGTGGGCTCGGCTTCATGTCTGGACAGAGGACAGGGGAGAAAAGTGGCATCTTCAGTGTAGGGAGTAGTTTCAAAAGAAATGTGGCAACTGTGGGGGGAAAAAAGTTGAAAAATCAGTCTTGTTTCTTTGAAGAAGAATAAAGGGAAATTTTGCCATCCTATAGCTGGAGATGGAAGCAAGCACTGATCTCTGTTGGAGTAATATATAAAATATGCAGTTTATCTTTGGGAGGTTCATAGAGGAGTCATGGCTCACAAGTCAGATTATCTTGAGGAAAAATGAGAATATACGATGGTGATCATATCTACCGTATGTACATAACAGTTCCTACTGTTATTTTGTTTGGTGCCCCATTGGTGCCCCATTAACTCTGTTTGGGAAATTTGCCATTCATTCGGTTTATTATTTGTTATATTGTCAAACATCCAAATGAAAAAACTGCAGACTTTGTATCTCTCACACAAAGAAGCTTCTCAACTGTTTAAAGCACAAAAGCCTACATTTCAAGGACCATAAGCACTAGAGCAGAGCGGAAAATCTCTTATGTCGGAATATAACCCACCCAATTCTACATTCATTCAGTTTGCTCAAGTGAGGTTTGATTGTTCACACACACGGAGCAGAAACAGTAAATGCACCAAAACAAACAACAGAATTCAAAACATGAATGGGGAGGTTAAAATACCACTTGCCATCATAAAACTGTGAGTTATTAAAACACACTAGATGCTCATTTTCCAGCAAAGATATAATGCTTCTACAAGAGAGGATTTGAATTATAAGAACTGCCACCACAGTGCACATTTACGCAACAATGACCTCAGGGGTGTAATATTTGTGCTTTCTCTTTGCCTCTCAGAATGTGAACTCGCAGTGTTCACAGCCTCCACCATCATCCGCAGTTGCCACGCTGTGTGAGAGAGTAGAGGAGGCAGACAGGGTGCACGGATGATCATTTTTGAAAACTCGCACACATTTAGCCTTGGCAGCTTGCCCATTTGAAACCAGGCGTGGGGCAGCAATTAGGCGGTCCATAGTTGCTGGAACGACAGCTCACTCTACCTACTGTACGCTGTCACTGTGGCTGGTCTGCCTCCGTCAATAACAAACTATTAGAACCATGCCAGTGCAGATGACCAGCCAATTGGCAAGCTGTTAATGTTCTGCTCCGGGCGATTCATAATGTATTCAAACCCAAAATATAGGTTAGGTCTGTGGCGGCCCAGTGGCTCACATTAGCAACAGGAAATAGGTCATTGTGTATTAATGTGATTGGACTGGCTAATTCTGCTCTTAACATGACCCTTATCGCTGTATTGTTCCTGTTTAAAGGACTTCTATTGTACCGCCTTTATCCACTTAAGTGAAATTATATTTCGTACTATAACTTCATAGCACTATAATCTATGGTACAGTAGCAGTAGCACCCTACTGAGTGTAATCATAAAGAGATTAGCATAGCCAATTTAGTGCTATTAACAATCATGGGACTATAGCTCTGAGTGACGGCAGGGGGGGAATGTTGATTTGCTGCATTTGTTCTGACCTGCTTTTATGCATATAAACTCTGTGTCATAGTGTGATCTGTCTTTCTTTCTTTCTTTCTTTTTCCTTTTTCTTTCTTTCTTTCTTTCTTTCTTTCTTTCTTTCTTTCTTTCTTTCCTTCTTTCTCTCTCTCTCTCTCTCTCTGTCTCTCTCTCTCTCTCTCTCTCTCTCTCTCTCTCTCTCTCTCTCTCTCTATCTCTCTCTCTCTCTCAGGAAGCGGCGGTCAGCTGCTGGGTTCAGTTCAGCGATGGGGCCGTTGCTCCACTGGAGCTGTTCGACCGCAGCATCTACTCTCTGACAGTCTCTACACCAGATGAGGGTGTGGCCACAGTCCGCCGCACCCCACTGTCCACATTTGTGGTAGCACAAGGTGAAGGCGAGGGCCAGGGGGCGCTAGTGAGGGTGGAGCTGAGGATCTGTGAGGAATGCCAGAAGTCCAAGAGGAAGAGCAAACTGGCAGTGGGCACGGGGCTCCTCAGAATGAACTTCCAGAGTAGCAGCAGAGCTGCAGCAGGGGGAGGAGGAGGAGCTAGTGGGGTTGGCACTGACGGGAATAAAGATTACGATGGTGGCGCATCAGAAGCATTAGGAGAGATTAAAACGACGGTGACATCACAGCGTGCCATCACAGATGTGGATAAATGGTTGCTAAGGAGCACAGTACCTGACCAGCAGGAGTCTGACATGTCAAAAACATCCACCTCAACCACATATTCTATGAGACCTGCGCAGCCACATGTTGTGTGGATTGGAACTACAACCAGAGGTACAAGAGGTGGCACATATACTGTCATTCCCACAACTGCCACTACGACTAATACACCAATGAGCACTGCCAAACCTATAGCAACAACAGTGGGTGTTGTCATGAAAGGTGAGGGGCAGAAGAGAAGCTATGGAAACATGCTCGACAACCCCAATTCACCCCCTAACAAAGACATTCCTAAAGCAGAAGTGACACCCAAGAAGGAGCCTCCTAAACCTAAAACCCCAAAAGTCATCGAGAGCGACCTCATCCGCACGTTCAGAGCCATGTCGGACTTGGAAATTGGCATGTATGCCTTGGTAGGGGTCTCCTGCGTAGCCATCTTGGCTTTTTTACTGAACTGTGCTTCGTATAACCTCTGTTTCCGTAATCACAAGACACCCATACAGGCCGGCCCGGCCCCCAGCAGGGACCCGAAGGACCACAAGCATGACTGGGTGTGGCTGGGGAGCAATAACCAGAGCGGTCCTGCCCCAGGCGCCGCAGCTCAAGCGTCATCGCTAAAACGTGAGACCCATCGCCCTCTGGAGTCCCGTCATTCCATAGACTCCATGGGCCACCGTAGCCTGGAGAACACCCTGCCCACTGTGAGTGCCCCGGCCGTGCCCGAAAGAACTGCCACCCTGGGCCGCAGCAGGACCAGCTCCCAGCAGCAGCAGTTTCAGGGGAAGGCGATTGACCCCATGGCGAATCGCTCAGCAACTTTGCTGGCCAGGCCACACCGCAGCGAGCCGCTTCATTCCCCCACCAGTAAGAGGAACCAGGTCCAGTTCACCACCTTCACCACGCTGGACATCAAGCACCTGGCTGCGCTGAAGAAGAACGGAGTGGACTTAAATTGGGCCAACCAGCAGACGCAGCAGCACCAGGCCCCTGCTGAGCCTCAGACACCTTTACCTGACATGCCATGGCCTGTAGTCAAACCTCTAGGAGAGCCCCAGTGAGTTTGTGTGTGTGTGTGTGTGTGTGTGTGTGTGTGTGTGTGTGTGTGTGTGTGTGTGTGTGTGTGTGTGTGTCTGTGTGTAAGTGAGTATGAGAAAGAGAGAGATGGAACAAAAAAGTGTAGATTCACAGCATGTTCTGGTGTAGAAACTCTAAAAGAAAAGAAGCTGGCTTTCCTTTTTTTTGATAAAAGATAAATCACTTTAGAAGATGTATTTATTGAGATTACATAAAGAACATTTTATATGAAAGCCTGTAAATACAGTATGTAATGATGTGTCCATGAAGACGAATATGAGAGATACTGTGCGCAAGTTTTCTTTTATTTGCAGAGGATGTGGTCCAGAGATCGAGTCCTGTAAATACACATATATCTATACTATTACTCATTTCTACGTTTGTAACTCAAAGCAAATGAATTTTCATCTCCTTTTACTTTTGTACAATTCTGTTGCCCCTGTAGAAATGGCTCCAGACATTGCTAGTTGTCAGGGTAAATGCAGTACAGGAGGGATTATTTCTTGTAAATAATTCTATTCTTTTCCGGCCTTTTGTACTTTTTTTTTTCTCTAGGATTCCTCTAGAGAATACCTGAAGAGTCTGTGCAATTTGTCAGAGAATATGCAACATTTATCAAGTTATTTGGAGCAATCTGTCACTGCAGGTCTTCACCAGATACTTATTCAAATCAAATGCATGCTATGCAAATATAGTCAGTGCGGAGTTTGATGTGGACATTGTTTCTGAATTTTTTAACAAAGTTACCTTGGGCCCCAGGCTTCTCCTGAGGGTCTGGTTCAACAATTTGTAAAAATGTCTAATCTCAGTATCTTGACTCAGAGCAATACATATTCAAGTCTAAGATTTTTCATGTGTGAATGAAAAATGATGATGCCTTTTTTATGTAACAACCTCTTATTTTGAAACCAAAATGTGACGTGTATTTCCTACGAGATCCTATTAATAAAGAACAAATAGATACATTTGTTATAGTTTTAATTCAATTTCATTCAGTCATTGTTTTTCAAAGCCTTTTAAAAAATAGTAAAGAATCATTCACAGTAAAGCACAGTGAATGGTTTGGATTAAAGGCTAAAGCTCTGCTATGAATCGGTGAGATTTAATTCTCTGTATAATCACTATTGAATGTGATTTAAGGCTGATGTCATCATTCAACGAAATGTCATTCTGACAGCAACGTATTTGATCTGCCTGCCAATACCGGGATTCTGTGCTGCTGCATGAACTGTTCCACAGAGGATAGATGGGGAAATGAGAAAGCTATCCTTGTTTTATGTATTTTAACAGGGTCCCCAAAGAATTACAGGTGTTTTATCAACGATGGAGCCTGCATAGGATAACTCATAGCTCATTTGTCTCTTTTCCTCCATCCACCTTCCTGTGTCTCTGAGGTAACTGCAGTTACACAATTCAAAATTACATTCTAGGAGCTGTGATGCATAAACAGCATCCCCAGCTTAAAGAAGCTCGGATAATCTGATGCCCTGCACCTCAGGAGTTGGCAGCTGCAGATATGACAGCATGCATCGTCACTCCCTGCTGCACAACAACATCGGGTGGATTCACAGTGTTGATAAAAGCAAAATTTTAATAACTTTCTTCCAAAATTCTCCACCTACAGGCCCAAACGTTTTTTTTTTTTTTCTGCGTGTATAAACTCTCTCCCCCTTTCCAGTCAATTTATCTGTCCAGCAGCGGTGAGAGAAGTAAACAAACACGCCTTGGAGATAAGCAGTGATTCAAAGCTGTCTTTGCGGTGCATCGTGGCCCAGCATCTTATGATTGTGGACTTCCTGATTCATCCAGGACGCAGAATTCAGAACTCCAAAGTTCAGACACAGTGATGATTAAGATATAAGCGCGGCTCAGTTTGTATGACTACACTGCCGTCACAAAATCACTATGTGCTTATCCAATGAAACACTAGAGCTTTGTTGATAACTCAGACCTTTTCCTTTTTCTAATTCGGGTTCATCCCTTGATCTCGCACATGTGCTGTCTGTGTGAAGTCTCTGGCTTCATCACAGTGCTGGGAAAAGCTCTTCAGTTAATCATACATACAAGCTTTGCCTGCAATAGGAGTTTGTCTTGAGTGGTTGAGAAACAGCATTATTAAAGTGTAACTGAGTTACATTATTTTAGCAATAAACCATTGAGATACAAGACCGTAGACACAGCAGCCAGGGGCTACTTTGCATATAATGAAGAATGTAAATCGCAAAAACTGTGCGTTTGTCTTGAAAAACAACAAGACAGTGGCTGAGTCCCTCCGTATCATTACAGCAGGATCTCTAATCTGGAGCATCAGCTTCCCTATTGACAGGTTTAAAGGATTGGGGTCATTGTGTTGGAGGATTAGTCTGCATTAGTGGACCCTCTCCATGGCACACTCCTGATTATGTAGGCCAGAAGAGACAAGGTCACTTATTTCACAAGGCTGCTTTCCCACAGGTTGGACACACAGTCACAGATGGAAGCAGGTGTTTGTGGGAAGGTGTAGCTGCAAATGGAAAAAAAACAAAAACCCACTCACCTGTTGAGATGCTATTTACAGATACTGTGGGTCTTAAACGTAGAGGATGTAAAAAGTACTGTAACTCGATTCTTAGAAGAGAACATTAAAAAGATCATATAGGCAGACAGATAGACAAAAGAAGACACACACACACACACACACACACACACAAACACACACACACACACACACACACACACACACACACACACACACACACACACACACACACACAGTAGTGAGTCCTAAGATGAATATGGAGATGATAGCGGTAACTCTCACATCACAGGTGGAGGGGAACTCAAACTGAATGGCAGCTCATTAAAACAAAGTACCTCATGCTTCCCCGCGACACTCGTCGCTGTCATTGCTTGTCAGCACAGTGTCAGTGCTCAGTGTGTGTCATATGATAATGTCACCAATTTTACAAAGAAGGGGACTAAAGGCAGAAGAGAAGTTCTTTGTGTTAATGAGACAGATTGCAGAAAACAGCTTTGTCAGTTCAGAAAAAAGAACAACCCTTGCTGACAAAAGAAGAATCTCAATTAGATGAAGCAGTGTCCTCAACAGGTAAATGAGTGTAGCCACAATAGTTTTTATAGTTTTTGTTTATTCGAGTATAGAGTCAATATGCAGTACTTAATGTTTATAGCTAAGTGTCAAAGATAATGAAACTACAGAAAGGAAGGGGAGGAAAAGAGAGATGAGGAAACTGACTAGGAGATAGAAAGACAGGATGACTCATCACTGCCTACCCCTCAGAAAGTATTTGAATTTTTTAAATGATCTCAGCTATGATCTTCTTCTGTTGTTGCTCGGTGAAGGAAATGCACAGAAAAATGTTTTCCAAAGTTAATTTTGTGCTAAGGCACTTTGTAATTCCCCCCAGACACTGAATCCAGATCCTTGTGAAGGTACTGCCAAATTAATATCAGCCTTAGGAGCCTGGTCATGCAAGCATCTATGAATATGCTAATACCGTGTGTGCAGATTTAATTTTTTAAACCATGACAATGATGTAATAACTGACTGGATTTGTGAGGGTGTGTTAAACAAGAGTCTATTGCTATGCTAGCCTGTGCTTAGCCACTGCAGTGCTTTAATGGAAATGCTAACATGTAGTCAGAAATCAAATTACTGGATAAATAAAAAATTGACCGGATGATTGGACTGGATGAAAAGCGAGATGATTAACAAAGTATAGTTTATCAGCATAAATGCTTGCACAAAATTTCCCGCCCACTGATATAGCAGATGTAGCAGGCTCTTTTTTCAAAGACAGGCCAGCCGGTGGTGTCTGATCCCTGGTTCATATTCTGAAAAAGGATCAGGACTGTGTTCAGTGAAAGAGCGAGATGGGTTTTAGTCAAAGCAGACAGACACCAGACATACTTCAAGGCTAGCAGTTACTCAGGTTCTTTGTACATTAAGAACCATAAATAAAAGTTCACAGTGACCTTCTGCTCATGTGTATGGGTTTAATTTGAAACTGTCTTCTAATGCTGTGTCTAGCTTAGAGGAAACCTCTATCTAGGGAATATACATATTTATCATAGGACACAATGACAGAGGTTCTTAATGGTTTATACGATTTGAAACAACAACCACAAACATCAAGATAGAATCTGGTTACATCTACTGTTTCAGAAACAACATGGAGTGTAATCATTTGTCAATTACAAAACAGGCACTCATTCATTTTTTTTGGTATTTTTTTCTTCCTCTCATTCTTTCTCTTATTCATTATTATCAGAACCATCCTATTTATGCCAAACACACCTGCAGCATATTAAACTGACAATGAATAAGGTTGAGTTTCGTGCTAAAGAAACAATTGGAACAGGAAGGATTTTTTCAGAGATTGCTAACTTAGACACTCAAATCAAAAGATCACATTATTCACTGTACTCGCTGCAGCTGTGTTCACTCTGTCACATTTATGAAATCTATGGAATACAAGAGAAGTGGATGATCTTATAGGGAATACAGATACTTATTGCTTTTACAGTTTATTTAATGTCCAGTTATTATAAAATACAGTTTAAATAAATCAGAGCTTTAAAAGAAATATGGCAAAAAAACTATATAAATCTAAAACCAGCTTCGCATTAGATTACACATCTGTGATGGGCGGATTAAAACAGTCTACTTGAATGTGGGGTATTGCATTTGTGGTAATCCTGACACCGCAGATGTCAGAAGTCTTTTACACATTGCTTCAGAGGCGGTATCTTTCACCTCTAGCACCTTTCTTCTGTAATCTGATTTATTCTCTAAGGTTGTTAATGTGTTGCACACAACGAAACCCAGTTTGGAAACACTGTGACGGACTTTTTATATGTACTCATTAAGAAAACATATTGGTTGATTGCTGTTTGGCCTTTTCTTATGAGTTGCATGCTGCAAAGTTGCAGCTAGAAATAATAGCATCGGTACCTTCAAGAAAAATGAAATGATGGGACCGCA